GTAAAAATTCTTTAATATATTGAGTGTTCCACTTGAAAAATTAAAAATCAACTGAACGTATAGTTTTTCCGAAGTCAATTGAAGAACCTATAATTTCAAAGTATTTACCAGGCTCGGTCGCTAAGCAGCAACTCGGCATTGAAATATTTGAAAAACTTGTTCCCATATTTATTTAGCCATACCCATATATAGGTCTGGTCGAACTAAACGTGGAGGTGGTTGCAATGTATACGACCAGTTGAAGAATGCGAGCGCGGCCAAAGTAAAACTAGCACAGTTGTATTGGGCTTCTAGGCAATAAATCACAGCAGGTGACAAGTGGTTCATAAATTGCTCAGCAGTGCAGTGCTGCAGTGCGGAATTTGGTGTGAATAGTCAATTTTAATTTATTATAGGCACCTTCTATCAATCATTCATATTACAATTGCGAAAGGGAGAAATAAGAGGGATATTTTGTTTACTAACATTATCACAACATGGCATTTTGGAGACCTTTTGAAACGGAACAAAACAAAATTTACCACCAATATAATAAAATTGTTTGAGGACATAAATAATTAAAATATGTTGTTGGCCAAATGAACAAATAATAGAAATTTTCTATACATTATATACAAGTTATTATAATTTTTTACCTTTAGCAGAAAACCTTTTTAGGGACGCCTATGAAACTCATTAAATTTTATTATCAGACGTTTTTTTTGCATATTCAACTGACTTCGGAAGGACTATACTTTTAAAATTGTTAAGTAAATGAAGAATGTTTAAACACCTTATATATAAGAGGCATATCCATAAAGAGTACTTTGATACTCTGTAGTATTCGATAAAGTTGACAACATTGCATTCAACGCCCAAATTTTGATAGCAGAATGCGCCCTCATTTGTCTAGGTCAGTTGAGAACTGTTGTTGTAGTGATGTGTTGAAAAAATGAATGCGCTATTCAGCCAACGTCACAAAGCTACTCTTGAATTCATTTGTTTGGAAAATCATCAACCAACCTGCTCACAGCCCTGACCTGGCACTTTCTGACTTTCATCTTTTCTTTTCTCTGAAGGTGTTTATGGGCGGAAAAAGTTTTCTATCGACGATGTGATCCACATTGCGGTGAAACAATGTAAAAAAAGCTAAATCTTATTGTGAATAACTTTTCTAAATAAAATTAATTGATATCTTATATGAAAAAGAGTCTTTAAATACACTGATATTTTTTGTGCTTCGACAAGGTCTACTTAATTTCTCATTAATGAAAATATGCTACAAATTACCTTTTAGTCATAATAAATCGTTTCTTAATGTGCCAAAATTGTATCTTAAACGTTTTTTATTATTTACCTACGGTTAAGATGATCTGGTGCACCCGTACATATTAAATGCTCGAAAAGCACATTCATTATGAACAGAACACAACAGACCAATTTTCCAATTTCCTTCGGTCCATGGGACCTTGGCCTGCCAACAACCAAATTCCCCGACGAGTGATCATCCTTTGATCCAATTATCAATGGATTCTTTTACATAACATTGTGGTCGGCTGCCTGAATATGTGAATTCCTATATATTCTTTTAAGATTTTCTTGTGTGCAAACAGAAACAGCTGATACCAAAAAGCCTCCTGTAGCTCGTAAAGAACGCCCGCTTTTTGTAAGCCAGGGTAACCCCCAAAAATTTTACCCTTCGTAATTTCTGAATGGATTTATTCAAGATGTTGGCTCCTTGCAGCCAAATATCTTTCATTTTATGATGAAGAGAAGTAGGTCGACTTTGGACAGATTTATCCATAGCCCCTGGCCCACAGTCCAATTCTCTATTAAACCCCAGTGAGTAAGCTCATAATAACACCCGTGGTTTCCCAGGGATAAATACGCCAAGATCATCCGCGTAGACCTGTGTGAATATTTCCCCCTCATTGAAACCTCGCATAACAGATAGGAGAAGATACCCCTTCTGCGACCTACACCCATTCTAACCGTGATCTGATCTACTCCGAGTGATATAAATTTAACGGAAAGATAACATAGCCTCTATCCACCTGACTACGATGGAATTCAGCCACTCTCTGGATGGAGTCATTAGATATGTTATCAAATGCTTCAACTATATCCATGAAGGTCCTTATAGCGATTTCCGTTTGGCTGATACTTTTTTCTTTTATTACTATTCAATGCAATGCAAGTTCTGTAGATTTACCTGATTGTTAGGTGTGCCGTAAGCTGTGGAGTAGCAATGTTAAACGTTTGGCGTATGGAGAACGGTTTGACGTATTTCAAGTTCTGCAACAGTGAATAGAAGAAGAACCCAATCTGGGATATTTGAGAGAGGACGTAATTCAATTTCGCAATGGCATACAAGAAAGAGTTTGTCATGTGCATACTATTAAGAAGGGTTCTGAAATCACATATTGCATTTTCTTAAAAATGATACCTATTATTAAGTAGATGTACATAAGACTATCTTTCCTTTGTAACAAACCCAGCTTTTTCAGAAAATGCTACTATTTCTGTGAAAATTTCAGGGTCGTAAAAGTACTACTGAAAAATACATGACGATATTCCTGAATTTCTTCCCCTGAATGATCTATTTTATTTATCATTGCCACATTCAAATCGTGCAAATAGTAAAAACATATTTTCCATTTCCAGTCATATGTTCATGTGGACCCTGGTTATTTCTTTTTGGAGTCCATATTACTTTATTTTTTTTTTATGTAATTTTAAAACTCCGTATTCCCTTTTTTTCTGCGCGTACTTTTCTCGGAATCGATCCAGTCGGTTCCCGTAGGGATAGGCGTTTATATCCTGTTGATATGGAACTGTATTTGTTTTTAGCGGGTAGGCATATCGTAACATGTATTACATTAGTATATAAATAGTCCGCTGGGATAGATAATACCTAGAAAGTGTCACTGGATTTGATAAATAGAATCTAATACCAGCATTCTACATTGATGATTACAAAGCCGGCATGGGCGCGGTTATATGCTTTGTTGTGTTCACAAAATATCTGGGAGTGTTAATAGATTTATGATTGCGTTTCCAAAGCTAAGAATCGAGACCGAGATTCCAGACCTAAAAATCGACAAATCTAGAGCTTTGCTTTTATTACTCGGAATAGTTTCTCCACTAGTTTGCCGTGCTATATAAAATGTGACGCTTTTTCTTTATTACAGTCATTAATTGCTTATATTTTACCCAACTCGTAATTAGTAACTCATTAAAAATTTAAAACAGCATTATTTTGTTTATAAAATCTTTTTTACTTGATCAATACATGCTACGTGACAGTTACATCATATCAAAAAGTATCGAATGATATCTTCTTTGAAGGCGGTTGATATAAGTCCGTGGGATTGATATCAGGTGAACCTGGTGGTCATTTTCATTTTATAAAATAATATTTTCTAAAGTTTCGTCAAATGAAAATGTCAACAAACTCTTACGTTTAAAATTGTTCGTTCTTTAAATCCATATATCCTCAACAGGATAGTCCTGTAGCCAGGGGGGTCCCAATTGCCTCCTTCATTTAGATGGAGTTACCCAAGTATTTTTTGTGTTTTTTGAGCTGCAGAACACGAATTTTTTCGGCAGAAATTTGCCCGGATGTCGATAAGTTTTTTATTAGCAAAAAACTTGCATTTTTGGCAAAATAGAAATTTTTTTGTTCTTTGACCCATTTTAAGAAGAAAATGTCTTGCAATTTTTTGCCGCCGTTAAAAATTCGAAAAATGCGATTTTTGCGATTTTCAATCGTTAATAACTTTTGATTGAATAGGTATTTTGTAATTCTGCTAACGGCGTTTGAAAGTTCAAGTTAAATACTACAAACTATGAGTAATTGCAGTGTGAAAATTTGTTTTTCCACTTATTTGAAGCTATAAACAAATAGCGATTGAGCGTTCAGAAGGGTGCGCCGCACAGTGGCGCGAAGCGCCACTGTGCCACCCAAATTACTGTACACCCCTTAGGGTTGGCCCGTTTGAAGTGATTTTTTTTAAAATGTTCGTCATAAAATTCTCTATCGATCCCTCTTTCTCAATTTTCGCTTTGGGACTTCATTTTCGCGCAATTTGATTGAGATTTTGCCGGACATTTTTATGGGGGAATGCTCGTCTTGGAAATCCCTACAAGACTGTCCACTTAGATTTCGGAGAGAAATTTTCCGTTGCCGCCAAAAATGGCCACAATCATCCAAAAATTTTCACATATCAGAAATCGTTCTACTGAAAACTGGGAAAGTATTGGAAAAAATCTCATCTCACAAAAATTATTTGTACACATTCGAGGAATCCGCAAAAATTTTTCCAGAATTTTTGGACACATTTTTGGACATTCACAAAAATGGCCACATACAGATTTTCCGAATTTTCACGTAATTCTGAAGAAGGTCAGAAAGGTTCCATAAATGATTTTGAACACGTTTTTGGGAATTCAATTTTTTGACAAAAGTGGCCATTTTGGATACAATAGTTCATTGTTAATGAGAAATGATTGATTTTTCCTGGAACTTTTCGGATGAAATTATGTCATACAAGCCCCCTTGTCTTAATTTTGCTATGAAATCTATTTTCACAATGTATCTTGTGAACAATGCATATCGCTTTAATGTATATACTAATAAATTGAGAATTGTTTAATGTTATTGCTTTATTTAAATAATAATTATTTCACTAGTGACTTAAGATTTACAAATTTTGCCAGTAGTGATTCAAATTTAATCTTTAAATCATCCTACAAAATACCTACAAAGTTGCAATAGTTGGACAAAAAATTATTACCTGTTATTTGTTAGGCATCCAAGTCTCATTGTTAACATATTTAGCCTATGGTACATTCTTTTGCCCACATGTTCCTTACCATTACGTAAGAAGTCATATGCAGGATATAAGTAGTATACAGGATGTTTCATTTAAAAATAAAACTCATGTTTGTTATCTGCGTTCTGCAAGTTGTCATCATGGAATACGTGATACGAATACTATGTGACACGTCTTTTCTTTTAGGAGGTGCTGCTGCCATTGTACTCCCTTGCCATTTTGATAGTCGTGAAAATCATAATACCGAATCCAAATTTTCCCGAAATGGACACACCCAGAGGAGAAGCCAACCTTTTCGACCATTTCCAAAAGATATCTAGCCATACCGTAGCAGTTGTTCCAAATTCTGAGGAAGTCCAGGTAAAAATTGCATTTCCATTTTGTCAATGACAAATTGAAATGTACACTTACAAATTGTTAGATATTGTTCCCGTGTAAAATATTAATTTTAGGTAAAAGAAGTAAAACATTCCTTTATCGCACTTTTCTTACTAAGAAGTTACGTATTTATAAAACTTAAAATAATTTGAGCAAATAACAGGAAACTGACTATATTTTAAATGTATCTGAAATTTTCGGCACGAAAGATTTTACCAATTTGATGAGATGTGGGTAGGATGCCAAAAGAAACAATGAATAAGTCCAACATGTCTTGTTTTTGATTTAATAAAATGATGTATTTATTTATAATTAAAAGTACTAAATTTACTGTACTTATTAACTAATAAAAACATCGAATATACAAGAAAATTTTAAGAAAAAAAATGTGTACTCTGATATAAAGTGACGTGTGGAATAGATTTTTGCTGTCAGTTTTTACGTATCTCTAAAAATGTGTGCTGAGCGGTAGTTAACACGTTTGTGTTTGTTATGGACGCCATATTGAATTAGAAAATGAAAATTCTCCAAAATTGTCTTTATAACGATGTATAATGTATGGGGTTTTCATAAATAAATAACCAAGATATTGGATATAATTATAATTTTTATAAAACAGTCAAGTAGCCATATGAAACATTTGATTTTTTCTATAAATTAATTTAATATTTCTTATTTTTAATACTTTTAACCCAACAACCTTTAGTTACATAAATAACAAGAGCAGGTTAAGGAACATCATGTAAATAATATTTTTATTAATTCATGGATAACATAATTTCGTATTTATTTTACCATTATTTCAAAAATAAGTTGTCACAAGACTTAGCAGTAATAGGCCCATTCAGTGATATATAATTTTAAACTTTTTCTTTCATTTTCTGATAGTATTTATCCACCTAAATATATCTTTAAAAAATTAGGTCAATAGGAATAATAATAAGTGATATATTTAATTCTGAATTTGTAAGATCCTTAAAAAGATCAACACTGCGGGAGAACAGGTAATGACGTCACGATACCGGCCACTCGGCGATCAAGTCGCGAGCAGTCGGAGAGATGTGTAGATATTTGCTATGCTTTTATCCATATTATATACCTATATTTTTAGGTGTATAAATAGAGAGTGTATAAGAGATATACATTAAGTCTTGTTGAAATGCATTTTTCACACAACATATTTATTATAAACATAGAATGACTTGGAATACCTAAATACATTTTCGGATTTTTCTCAATGACGTAAATGGTTCGCTTTTCTACATTTTCTTTTGCGTTCCATTTTTGTACAAATGTACCCAACGTACTAGACTCGGTACTTGTGGATGTATGCGACGACGTGTATGTGCGAGCTACTCAGAACCACCCTCGTTTTTCTTTGGTTGCCCGTCTAGGGGGTTGTAAAATATTATTATTTAAATAAATTGCTTATAGGTCCCTCTCGCCACGTATTTCGAAATTTTTGTGGACGGGAACGTTTAGATGGGGTAGAAATTTTTTTTTCGGCATAAATTTGAAAATTCTGCTCTAAATGTTTAAATAATAATATTTACAGCCCTCTAGACGGGAAACCAAAGAAAAACGAGGGTGGTTCTGAGTTACTTATAGGTCCCTTTCGCCGACGTATTTCGAAATTTTTGCGAACGGATACGTTTAGATGGGGTAGAAATTTTTTTTTCGGTATAAATTTTAAAATTCTGCTCTAAATGTTCAAATAATAATATCTACAACCCCCTAGACGGGCAACCAAAGAAAAACGAGAGTGGTTCTTAACTGCTTATAGGTCTCTCTCGCCAACGTATTTCGAATTGTTTGTGAACACGAACATTTAGATGGGGTAGAATTTTTCTTCCGACATAAAGTTGAAAATTGTGCTCTAAATGTTCAAATAATAATCTTTTATAACCCCCAAGACGTGCAACCAAAGAAAAACGAAGGTGGTTTTGAGTTGCATATCGGTAATGAAATAAATATTTTATTCGGAGTCGATCCTGAGGTACTTTTGCAGCCTGGAACTATACAATATTTGTACAATCCTCGGTTTCGAAAAATTGATTTTTGGCATACTAACTAATTAAAGGGTAAAATTTTGGAATATGCAAAAAAAATTCGGCTGAATGCGCCTATTGTCTATACGTGTATGACATTTTGTCATTTATCTCGAAAATGGCGCATCCAGCAGCATGCAACAAGAACACATTTAAATAGAGCCTTCAATGATCCATCATAATCGTGTCTAATTTGTTTAAATATCCTGCAAAAAAACTAATTGCGAACGAAAGTGTCTAAGTCCATTTCCGGGAAATACACCTCTGTACATAAAAAGTACTGTGGAAATACAGACTGTCAAAAACTAAAGCTTCATTCCAAATTTCAATGGCATGACATTTGTTTAAACTTTAACATACGTATTAAAAGTGAAATTTCGCGACATATCTTCACAGGAAGATTTTTCATTGAAATATGTAGAGGTACAATCCACCACTAAGTTTATTCGACTAAAAAGTTTCATTTTATTATTATTTTTTCATAAGCATAGTCTTTTTTGACGTTATATAATTCCAAATGTTTTTCAAAGAGTGGGTAGTCAGCCTTAAACTATTTAACTGACCTAAGCGATAATAAGTTTTCTTTCAATTTGTCGCTAACAGCTTTTTGCCAGAAATATCACTCTAATGATGCTGAACTGGGCGTGGAAATTTGCTCTTTCTATATAATCACAATCGCAATGACGTCTACTTTTTAATGCGTGACGAAATACTGAACATAACAATAAGCTTTAATATAAGTTTTCAAAAACATTTAGTAGAATAACGAGTAGTAACGACACTGATTTCTTCTTTTTATACTCATAAAAGAAGCTGCTCAGCTATAAGTGTCCGCGTATTTATGGCTAAAAATGAAATGTATGATCTGTTCTTATTTATTGAACTATTCTTTAAAATAGTATGAAAACATAGTTCAGGTAAATTTATTAACTTAATTGTAAATACTGTGATTGTTATTATTAAATGTGGAAGTTATGTTTAATGAATTAAATGTTGAATGAAAATAGAAAATGTCGACTGTTTTCTTCAGTTGTTAAAAAGCTTCTTTAGAGGTGCTACTCGAGATTTGGAAAAAATTAATTTCCTTAAACGTTATTATTTTTACTTACTTTTCTCCCATAAAGGCAAACTCCAAACACCTCTTCTAATACATCACAAAAGCCGTGCATCTACAGGGTATCCCAACGAAAATTTGACCCCCCCTATAATTGGAAAACCGAATAATATTTCAAAATTCGCCGAGACCCGTCGATTTTTGTTCTTGGGGGGAGCTTTTTTGACAGTCAAGCCAACTCGATATGTTCATCCCCCTAATGCCTAGCAACCCCAACTTAAAAATTTCAAATGCAACTACCCCACTTGTGGCACATCATTTTAAAGCCCTTTTCATTGCGAATACAGTGACGTACCGTTTTTAGAAATCGGTTGAGATTTGACAGAATTATTGGTTACAAACGAAAAGATGACAAACCAACTTACGCGTAGTAATTTCTACACAAATGCCCACCACTAATAAGTTTTTCATCTACTACACATGACCGCATTACCTAATTGTTATTGATGTGTCTATCAGTTTACAAAAAAGTCAGAAATGAAATAAAAAAGCTGAAGCAAATAAAACTAGATACTAAAATAGTTATTAGTAGAAGATACTTAAGTTTATAGGAATTCAGACCTTTTCAAAATAACAAAAAATCAGTACTACAAAAAAAGTCGGTGTTTTTTGCTTGTGACCAAGAAATCGTTAGTTTCAGCCGTTATTGAAAGTATTAACGTGTGTTCGAAATGGTTTATTCTATCGCGGAAAGAGTAGAAATTGTTGCAATTTATTATCGAAATCACGATTGCGCTAAAGCTACAGCACGAATTTTTAATGCCAATCATCCTGAAAAAAATGTAAACCACCAGTACGTTAAACACCTGATTGACAAATTTGTTGCAACAGGTTCGCTTTTAAACAAGAAACGTGAAGTAATTGGGCCAGTTCGAAATGAAGCAGTTGAAGTGGCAGTTTTGGGTCATGTACAGATGGATAATAAGCAATCGATTACAACTGTGTCTCAAGCTTCTGGCGTATCCCGTTCCAGTGTTCATCGAATTTTGAAAAAACACAAGTTTCATCCATTTAAGATGACGCTGGTTCAAGAGTTACATGAAGATGACTTTGATCGCCGTAACCAATTTTGCGAATACTTTAGTGAACAACTTCTACTGAATCCAAATCTTCTCTACAATACATGTTTCTCCGACGAATGCACATTTATGTTGAATGGCGAAGTGAATAGACACAATTGTCGTTATTGGAGTGATACTAATCCGCATTTAATCAGGGAATTTCATACTCAGACACCTCAAAAATTGAATGTTTGGGCAGGCATTTTGGGCGACCATCTTGTTGGACCATTTTTCATCCAAGGTAATCTCGATGGAAACACCTATCTAGAATTATTGGAAAGTACAATTGATCCTAGGATAACAGAGATTTTAGAAAGTGACGACAATTTACTAGAAAATGAAATAACCTTCCAACAAGATGGTGCGCCCCCGCACTATGCTGCTGCTGTGCGACAATTTTTGGATGACCATTTCCCGGGGCATTGGATTGGCAGAAGAGGTCCCGTCGAATGGCCACCAAGATCTCCGGATCTGTCCCCTTTGGACTTTTTTCTGTGGGGTCATTTAAAATCACGAGTGTACGCCACTCAGCCGGAAACATTGCAAGTGCTACGTCAGAGAATTGTAGAAGAATGCCGATTAATAACTGCGGATGTCTTTAATAATGTTCGAACAGAATTTGAAAACAGACTGTATTATTGTTTGGAAGTTAACGGGGGTCATTTTGAGCAATTCATCAAATAAATCTGATTTATTATTTGCTTCAGCTTTTTTATTTCATTTCTGACTTTTTTGTAAACTGATAGACACATCAATAACAATTAGGTAATGCGGTCATGTGTAGTAGATGAAAAACTTATTAGTGGTGGGCATTTGTGTAGAAATTACTACGCGTAAGTTGGTTTGTCATCTTTTCGTTTGTAACCAATAATTCTGTCAAATCTCAACCGATTTCTAAAAACGGTACGTCACTGTATTCGCAATGAAAAGGGCTTTAAAATGATGTGCCACAAGTGGGGTAGTTGCATTTGAAATTTTTAAGTTGGGGTTGCTAGGCATTAGGGGGATGAACATATCGAGTTGGCTTGACTGTCAAAAAAGCTCCCCCCAAGAACAAAAATCGACGGGTCTCGGCGAATTTTGAAATATTATTCGGTTTTCCAATTATAGGGGGGGTCAAATTTTCGTTGGGATACCCTGTATGTTCCTGTTGGATCGTTAATTGACTTTTCTGATTATTGACTTAATTTGTTCACATAAAATACATTTTCCGGAACTAGATCATCCCAACGGATCTTTGTCTAGATAATTCTTGAATCATTATCTTGACCGTTACTACTATTGGTGACAGTAGTCCTAAAGTATCAAACAGTTGAGCTTTGTTTGATAATGTGCATTCTTTTAAGACAGCATATCCAGAGTCATGTTTATCTACATTATGCATAATACAGGGTGTAAGAAGTTTGACTGACATTACTTCAGAATAAGTTAGAGTAATCATAAATGAACAAAAAGTTGTATATTATAGAGACGTATGATTAACAGTTTTCAAAATACAGCGAGTATTGGGGAGTTTCATCACAACGTGACAACAGAGCTTAACCTAATGCTACACAGCTGGTGTATACCACGTGTTCACGCAGCAGACTTGTCCTACGGAAAAAATGTAAACAACTATTATTGTGAAACATTTAGTAAATTTCAAGACAATTGTTTATTTTTCATGTCAATCCACAAGTAGCGTGGGATCACTGAATAACCATTTCTGAATATACTGCAATAATTTGAATAAACATTTTTGGAACCGCCGATTCCATCGACAGTTCGGCTGGTTCTGTTTAGAAGTGATTACTGAAATAATTGTTGCTCTATCAATGGGTCATTTTTATTTATATTTATCCATACTTATTAATACTCATACAAATGTGCGTGCCACCCAAGCGTAAATGATTAAACATTTGTTCACTAATTTTACATAAAACTTAAACGGTAAAAGACACACGTTCCGGTAATGAGAACTAAAGAAAAATGTTGGTTTGCTGCAAAAAAAGGGACATAAAAGCGAACGGCGAGCTATCTACGGCCACAACTATTCACATCTCTGTATATGGAGAATTAGGTATTCCAGAGGTTCTCAATAAGTTTTAACAATTTTGATTATTATTAATTTTATGCACTGTTTTGCAGTTTCAGTGGAATTAATTAGTGAAAATACTAATTGTTGATGTATTCTACTTAAAGGTACAGATTGCGCCTATCTAATAAATGCAAAAAATTAAAGGAAATTAGGAAGAAAATGGTCTAATATAAAATTCACACATTCACAAGTTATTATTTGATATTACTTCTATTATTTTAAATTATAATTAAATGGTTTACTGAGGTAGTTTAATAATAACTTTGTCAGTAACAATAAATGTTTTTTAACTAATTTGGTGCAAATTTTCTTTGCTGGGTAATGAGTTCAGTGGCTAAAGGAAATGTAATAATACTACTACTACAGAAGACGCATTTGTTATAATAATTTTCTATGTTTTCAAGCAATTCCTGAATAACGTTACAATCCTCTGGGATTCGATAAAACAACATAACGATTCCGAAATAATATGGAACTTATTCGCAACAGAAAACGACTTGCTGAAAGCATATTGGCTGAAGTCGGACGAAATGCCTATTGCAGTAATATTTGAGGAACCTCCCATAAATGGACGCTTAAAGTGAGTAAACATTATTTGATTACAATCTATTCTTAAACTAATTCGAATAAATTTAAAAGCTTTTTTCTCAAATCTTTACAAATGAAAACAATACTCTTATGTGATGTCATTGCTGGAATCAACTACTCAATGGGCTATGTGCCCCAAACAGCATTCTTATGCCAGCAGTGTCTACGAGTAGTGAACAAAGACTATTACTAGTTAGTTAAAAAAATAATTCACAATTACCTAGTCATATTGTCAACACTTGACATTTTTTGACATTTTCGTTTCAAATTTTCTTTTTTTCTAAGAGTTTTTTTTATTCAGGATGGTGGTCCCAAGGTAATAGGCCAAAATTCACGAGTAGATTTTCGAAGCAAAAATATTGCGATTTAATCGAACTTACCTTAGTCCAACAGTTGATAGTTAAATAAACGAACGGTCCACCCCTAAAAAGATGCTTAGAAAATCAAGGTCACCGACCACGAGGAGAGGCCTGGATGAAACCTTGTAATCGATGCATTGAGTTATTGCGAACAAAAAACCTAAGTAACATCTTTGTGTCCGAGTGGCAGGTAATTTGTTATTAAAAAAAAAGTTGCAAAATAAAAATATTTCAAAAAACGCTCTGCAAACAATTTTCTACGGTAAATTGGGTAAAAATAAACACTTTTTGTCTCTTGAGATTTTTTCGTAGAACGCTTCTTTTTCGAGCTAGGGACGATTTAAGGTCGAAAAATGGCTAAAAGTTGCCAACTTTAAAAATTCATATCTCAGCTCCTACCAAAGCTTTCGGAACGTTCAAAAGCGCAAAATGATCCTCGAGACTTATACTTTAATGTAGTATTTTTTTTAAACCCGCCCCTTTTTTTTAACCCGTTAAATTTGCAGTTGAATTTCGGCCGCTAGTGCCCACGCGTCACCCCTACGTATCGCTATATATAGATATAGGGCTGTCGTGCATATAATCGAATAAACGCTATTAATTCATTACTTGTTACAATTTTTACTATTTAGTATTTCTAACACTCATACATAATTTCAAATTCATCAAATATTGTATAGGTACCTATCATATAATTATTTATAAGATTAATAATATGAATATCATATTTAAATGGGAAATAATGTATTACGTTACAAATATATTAATTTATATTTATAACTGTATCTTCATTAATGTAGCTTCAATAATAATAACTATATATTACTATATTTATATCAAAAAATTATTAAAACTAGAATATAAAATGTTATAAAAGGATACGCATAGATAGTCAATCAAAATATTAACTAACCGAGTTTTCGCGAACGTGCGCTTATGCAAATTACTTGTTATAACTTGTTTAAACAAGCGCAATGGATTAGACTGCAGCGATCGGGTGTCGCATGAATCATTAGTTTATTGTCTAGCAATAACAGTGAACATTTGACAAATAATGTATAAAAAATAAATAATACATTTTCTACAATATTCATTTGTGCTGTCATAGTGCAACAATCCTTTATTAGTCTGTAAACAATCAAGCAACGTATGTGAATATTCAATGTTGTATAAAACTACAGGTAAGTTTTCGAAAAATATTCTTGTGCTGTTCGTTATTTAATACAATATTCATTATTCCCAATAGCTAGTACGTACATGATAGTATAGTAAATATCGAATCATCATGATACCAATACCATCATCAATACCTTCGGCAGAGCCTGTATTGTTACAACATGTTATGCGTGTTAAATGGCAAATCAATGAATGGTCTCAAGCAAGATCTACAAGCATAACATCCTTCGACCCAACACAATATGGCTGGATATTAAAAGATAATGTATTGTGCTACAATTATTTTGAAGGAGATACGGCCATGGAAATGTTACAAAAATTCATATGTTCCAGCAGTGGAAAGTTACCCTGCAGCGAAGAAGACATTTGTTCTTGCTTATCACAAGGCTTCAAATGTTGCGATCTTTGCAATTGCTCTATAAAATGTCAAAACGCAGAAATACAAACTTATGATACTGATTCGGAGACTGAAAATTGAGTTTTTATTAAATAGTTAAGTTTATATTTAAATGTAAATATATTTTTTTGTATTAATAAATACCTTTGATATATGCATTTTTTGTAATGTTTACTAATTTATTTTTCATTTAAATATCATATTCATATTATTAAATCTTATAAATAATTATATGATATACAATATTTGATGCATTTGAAAATATGTATGTGTTAGAAATACTAAATAGTAAAAATTGTAACAAGTAATGGATGAATAGCGTTTACGCGATTATATGCACGACAGCGCTATATCTACATATATCGCTACGTAGGGGTGGCGCGTGGGCACTAGCGGCCGAAATTCAGCTACAAATTTAACGGATTAAAAAAAAGGGGCGGGTTTAAAAAAATACTACATTAAAGTATAAGTCTCGAGGATCATTTTGCGCTTTTGAACGTTCCGAAAGCTTTGGTAGGAGCTGAGATATGAATTTTTAAAGTTGTCAACTTTTAGCCATTTTTCGACCTTAAATCGTCCCTAGCTCGAAAAGGAAGCGTTCTACGAAAAAATGTCAAGAGACAAAAAGTATTTATTTTTACCCAATTTTCTGTAGAAAATTGTTTGCAGAGCGTTTTTGCAATATTTTTATTTTGCAACTTTTTTGTTAATAACAAATTACCTGCCACTCGGACACAATGTTACTTAGGTTTTATGTTCGCAATAACTCAATGCATCGATGACAAAAGGTTTCATCCTGGCCTCTCCTCGTGGTCGGTGACCTTGATTTTCTAAGCATCTTTTTAGGGGTGGACCGTTCGTGTAAAAGATATACGGGGTGTTAAATGTAAAATATTATTTTAGTTTTTTTTTTTTTTCATTTATTCCTTAACAATTGCAAATATCCTCACAAAATTTTGGGGTTTGGAGTTCTTTAAGTAGGGGAATTGCAGTAGATTGAATGTGTTAAAAACGACATAACTTTTTTATACTTTAAGGTATCTCATCTTTGATATCAAATTCTTATTGTCCAACTTTTTGCACAAAAAAGGTTTACTTTATGAATTTAGCTGTCTAGCACCGTTTCCGATATATTTGGCATTTAAACTTCCAATGCTGTTGAATTAAATTGTGAGGACTATATGCTAAAAATATTTTGAAAAGTTGTAGGAAAATTCATGAAAATTGTTCGTCTTTCTGGCTTATGCCATTTTGCATGCACGTAGGAAACTACATTATAAAGTCATATGAATGTAGGCATAAGTCCACATTGGATTTTCATGTTGTAAATTTGAATACGAGTCAGGTCGACAAAGTAGAAAAATAATAGAAAATTGCCACAATTTTCTCGTTTATGCCGTTTCGCACACGAGTAGAAAATATTACTAAAAGCCATTTTCAAGAGTGGCATGAATGCCATAAGGTACCGTCGTATGTAAAAATTTTTAAAAAGTTTATTTCATCGCCTGCGCAATTTTCGAAATACTTATTAAACTATTTCGGCATGATCAGAAAAAGAAAAATTATATAAAATTGCCACAAATTTCTCGTTTGTGGCTATTCGTAAATGAGTAGAGTATTTTATCATAATAGACCATACGTATTTATGAACAATATATTTAAATTTTAAAAATTAAAAATATTATATAACTTGAATTTACCACAACAGTGCAAGGATGATCAACTTGAATTGAGCAGACTAAGGCAGAAGAAGAAGAAGAAAAAGAAGAAGGAATTAAGCTAGAATACATACAAGAAACTGATTTATAACTGATTTAATATCATGTTATTGAATTTTGTTTTTTTGTTTTTGGTACTTTGTACCTTAATTACTTAATTTGTACTTTTATACATTTTATACAATTGTCAGAATACTTCCTCAAAGACTTTGAATTACTAATTTTTAATTATAATTAACAAACAATAACACTTAAAATAATACAAATTTTTATTAACTTAAAATTAAAGCATATCAAAAATATAAATTTTTTCGCTTTTATGATTTTTCACATTTTCAAATTTCAAATAGTTTTATCTCCAGCTCTTGATAAACGAAAATATATTTTAACGGATCAAAATAAAGACCTTATTACCAGCTTTATTATAAGTTATTAAGAATTATCGTAATAAAAAATAACATGTCGAAAAATCAAACTAAATACAATACAATACAAAGCTTTCTCTTTTTCATGTAATTTTAAATTTTTTATTCCCTTTTATAGTTAGAAATATTCATTTTTTATATAAATATCTTCTCCGACACTTGCATTATTTATAATACATTTTTTAAATTAATTTAAGTATTGGAAATTGTGGCAATTTTCTATTATTTTTCTACTTTGTCGACCTGACTCGAATTAAAATTCAAATTAATTTACAACAAATGAATGTGTATCAAGCAGTTTACAAACCAATTTTAACATACGGGTGTGAGACATGGATATTAACGAGACAACATAAGAGTAAAATTCAAGCAACAGAAATGAAGTATCTGAGGAGAGTGAGAGGAGTAACGAAAATGGATAGAATGAGAAGTGAGCAAATAAGAAAAGATTTAGGAGTACAATCGGTATTAGAATTCATAGAACAGCGACAGCTGAGCTGGTGGGGGCACTTACAACGAATGAATAATAGCAGACAAGTTAAAAGGATATGGGAAGCTAAAATACAAGCTAAAAGAAGGAGAGGAAGACCAAGGGAAACGTGGGACAGCGCAGCAGAAAAAGCATTAGAAAATAGAGGCAAGTCATGGCAAGAAGCAAAGCTAATAGCAAGAGACAAAAAGCAATGGAGAAAATTTGTATATAAATAGTAGGAAATTAATTATATGAAATTATTTGTAATCCCGACACCTAAGGGTAAAAGGGAATTTGATTATATATATATTAATTTACAACATGAAAATCCAATGTGGACTTATGCCTACATTTATATGACTTTATAATTTAGTTTCCTACGTTCATGCAAAATGGCATGAGCGAGAAAGACGTAAAAATTTTCATGAATTTTCCTACAACTTTGGGACTTTTGTCTTCATATTGGTGATGCCTACTTGACACAGTACATTATTTATAGTAAGTACCATAAATTTTCAACGGCATAAATGAGAAAGTTATAGAATGAAAATAAAAATTTTCCGCAGCTTTTCCAAAGCTCTATTTTCTTTAGTCCTTAGTAGGACTTATACCAATGTTTTTTTATGAGCTTTTCGTATATAATAATGTCATATTTCTAATTCGCATTAATGAGAAATTGGTAGACAAATAAAGATGTTTTTCACATTTTCTTACAGTTTTCCATTTTTAGGTCCCTTGCGACACTTATGCCAAAAAAAATTTGTGATAAAATCGATACTTCTCTTCAACTTACGAACATAGCATGTGAGAAATACGTCGCTGTACACATTATTTTTTTGAAAAGGAAAATTGAATTTTCACAAAGGTGTCCCGCAGCCCATCTTTTAAATTTAGTTTATTGTACTTGTCTCTCGGTTACCTTTCAGTACTCTCAGAGGCATAAACGAGAAAGACGTCGTCGAACTTCAGTCTAATATCTCCTGGTCTATTAGTTTTGAGATGTCCCCACAAAAAAATCTAGGGGTGTAAGATCTGGAGACCGAGCTGACCACTCGATGGTACCTCGTCGTCCTATCCACCTACCGGGGAAAATTCTGTCCAGACATTGGCGAACAATAACAGCGTAGTGTGCCGGGGCCCCATCATATTGAAGCCATAGCCTCTCGTCGGTCAAGTTATTGAATTTCTTCCACAGCTAGTAACAAATTCAACTTCGTGTCGTGTCGTTCTCAACAGCCTGCCTCTGTCTCGGTACATTCCTTGCATGGCCCATCTCTACATATCGTGCCTCTAATTTACTAATGGTACCTTGATTTATTGGTGGCAAGTCGGGATGTGTTTCTTGGAACAGACGAACAACCTCGTATTGACTTCGCGCCCTATCGCCATATCCAATCATCATCAAAATTTCGATTTTTAGCGATTCACTTAAATAATGCATTTTTAGACTATTGACTATGTACTTTAGATAGGAATTACAACGTAACAGAAATTTGATTATTTTATAAGTTCAATTGACCCTAAAAAATTATAAAACCGCGGAGTGCTACCTTTTAAAGGAGTGAGTTTTTGAGAACGAAGTAAAAAGGTGGTATTTTCAGTTTTTTTTTAGTTTTACTCGAAAACAATGCATTTTTTCACTATAATTGTCAACAAAAAAGTTGTAGCAAATTAAATTTCCCATTGAAATGAGAAGTCAAAAAATTTATTTTTAACAAAATTTTGCCCAAAAAATGCGTTTTTTTTTTTGGTTTTTGGCCCACAACTTTTTTCTGAGAGGAATTAGGTATGGGCATTGCTTCACAGAAAAAAAAGTTAATGTTTTTTCCTTTAAAATAAGTGTTTATAAAAGTACCTACGACTAATATAAACCAAAATACATTCGATCAAAGTTGGCTTCTTTTTGGATTTTTGGCCAATTTTTGCCCTTTTTGAAGATTTTCGTTTTATAACTTTTTTCTGAGTTAATTTAGGTATGTAATGCCATATTCAAATGAAATCTGGTTTCAAGACCTTTAAAATGGTGCCTGGTAGAAGTTTGTACAATTAAAATCAACCGAGATATGTCAATTTAACCAACGATACTTCTTATTTTTATAAAATTTTTATTACTTTCGGTATTATTTATTCAAAATTTAATTTTTTCAAAAGATGAAAATGTGCAAGCATGGTTTGCTCGTATAACTAACACAAACACATCTATTTCTCTACTTCCAAAAAACCATGTGTATATTACATCATAAACGTACCTATGTTATGATCTGGCTATGCCGATCAACTGTAACTAGGTTTTAATAATAGGTAAGGTAGACCCATTACCAACGCATGCCAATCAAGATTATTTAACATCCGCGAAACCGCGTCATTCGAAATTATTATTACGAGTATTCTGGTACGAGTATTTGCATACCTAAATAAAATCATTTCACGAGCTTGCAAGCTAGGATACAATTGAGAGAGATGAATAATACAACAATTAAGCGTATACTTTATGTTATGCAGGAAGACGAATTGATATCTACATTTTTAGGAGTTTTTGGCTCTCTATAAAACTGTAATGTTAAGAATTTTTTAATTAAAAGTACAAAAATAATTAAAAGAATTCGAAATTTTACAAGATAAATATGATTAATTGTTGTTTAAATAAATAAATAATAATATTCAATCACCTAGAAACTTATTTTAACTTTCACATTCACAAAAATAAATTTATTAGACAAAATAATACCGAAAGTAATAAAAATTTTATAAAAATAAAACAAAGTATTGTTGGTTAAATAGACATATCTCAGTTGATTTTAATTGTATAAACTTCTACCAGGCACCATTTTAAAGGTCTTGAAACCAGCTTTCATTTTAATATGGCATTACATACAGGGTGTTACGAAATTCGCGGACACGGACTCTGGGATCATGTTAAGCTAGATAAGGTCATAGAAAAATGTCTCAATAATTTTTCAATCAGACCGATATTTTTCGAGATAGGGCAGTTTTAAATATCGAAAAATAATAAAAATTTTCAATTTTTAATCATTTGATAAACAATTATGACGAATTGTTCAAAATTTCCACCACCTGCTGCTAAACATGCTTCAGCACATTGTGCTACAGCTTGAACTGAGTTGCGTACCTACCATCTCTGGCGTTATTTGTTGTATTGTTTGAAACAGACAGCTCTATAACAGTTAATGACAATTCAGAAAGCATTTATCGATACTTTGATATCGTTAGAGTACAGTAAAAGTACCTGTCACAATTATTCAAATCATGAATGCTAATGAAGATATGCTAATGACTCTCGGAGCTTCAAATAATCATACAGGTGCGGTTGGTTTGGCAGAGGCGATCCATTTGCTTGGCCACCTCGTTCTCCAGACCTAACGCCATGAGATTTATATTTTGGGGCTTCTTAAAAACATTGATGTACAGAACACCAATAGCAAATTTGAATGAATTGCAGAACCGCCTATTTCAATCAATACAGCAAATAACACAAGAGGTGATACGCAACTCCATTAGAACAGTAGCACAATGTGCTTAAGTATGTTTAAAAGCGACGGTGGAAATTGTGAACAATTGTTGTAACTCGTTTGTCGTAATTGTTTATCTAATGACTGGAAATTGAAATTTATAAATATATATTTTTATTATTTTTGGATATTTGATACTGCTATATCTCGAAAAATACTGGTCTGTTTGGAAAATCATAAAGACACGTTTTTATCACCTTATTTATCTAGCTTAATATGATCCCAGAGTCCTTGTCCGCGAATTTTGTAACACCCTGTATATTTAAATGAACTCAGAAAAAAGTTATATGACGAAAATCGTCAAAAAAGGGCAAAAATTGGCAAAAATCCAAAAAGTAGCCAACTTTGATCCAATGTATCTCGATTTCTATTAGTCGTAGGTACTTTTATAAACGCTTATTTTAACGGAAAAAACATTAACTTTTTTTCTGTGAAGCAACCTACCTCCTCTCAGAAAAAAGTTTTTTCGTTTTTTTTCCTCGTTTTTTCAGAAGGTCTCATTTTGATGGGAAATTCAATTTGCTACAACTTTTCTGGTGACTATAGTGAAAAAATGCATAGTTTTCGAGTAAAACTCAAAAAACTGAAAATACCACATTTTTACTTCGTTCTCAAAAACGCACCCCTTTAAAATTGAACATATCAAACAATAAAATGTCTGTTACGTTGTAGTTCCTTTGTACCCTCTTTTTTTTGACATAGCCTATTTTACAAGTTTGCAATAACAATTATTTCTCTGAATACGGCATACAAACTAACTTCCAGTGTGTAGCTGTGTACAGAAACTAGCAAAAAGTAGCAATATCAGTTGTGGAAAAAAACTTCAATGAATTTTTTTTGTGGGTTGAAAAGTAATAAACTTAACAATTACATTTTAATGTTATGCAACCCTCAATCTCTTTAAAAATAATAGATGTGATCATCTTTTATCTGTCTGTCACCTTTCCAATGAGGGGTCACACGGCATATTGTTGCATTTGAAAAAAAAGGGAGTGGTTTCTGCCCTCCTTGAAGGGCTACATTTCGCAGATTGCTTGAAAATAGGTAGAAGGGGAATGTTTAGAAAAATTATTCAGCTCCCCGGTAGCGAATTTATTCCAGTTATAGTCTCCACCCTGTATATTGTAGAATACTCTTTCAAAATTGCAGTAATATGAGATTTAATGGGTCTACCTTGAAAGTAAAATCAAAAACGTCTTTTTGATGCTATAACCAATAACCCGGTGCACCTTTGTTCAAATTTGTGTTTTCCATTTACTCTTCACTACAGTTATTGTTTATTTCCTATACATATATAGCCTATATCATAATTTACATCACAGGTAACTTCCTTCAATATATATGGATGAACTGATTTTCATGTAAAGCGTGTTAGTATCAATAAATAATAAATAATTGATGATGCGGATTGATTCCTTTTGCTCTTGTGACATTGCTTATGACAAACTGAATTTTCATTAGATGCGAATTCTAGGCATGTACGTTCACTTACATATAAATACGATACATACAGGTACAATGACGCACAAAGCATTGAGACAAAATTATCAAATCTTCATTTATCAAAATAAATTGTGACCATGCCAAACATTATTCTGCCGTAATATTTGTATACCTAAGTTGATTAAAATTTTTAGATATGAAATTCGGACGAACCCTTCTTTGAATGGCACACCACCAAGGAATCTCTACAGCTCCCCAGCAGCGTGTAGGGATACCACAAGCGGATGGTATGGTTACAGGGTAATACCAGGAGCTATCGAAACGGGAGACAGCTGTCCAGTAAACCAATATTATTACTCCGGGTTCACAGCCCTACAAGCTCTTTTGGATTACACAAAAATCAGAGTAAGACACTTTGAACCCTTTAAGCTAGGATCACACGGAGCAATATACAGGGTGACTCAGAACTTAAAAAAAAAGTTTGAATGTACGGGCGACTCTTACAAATACAGTTTTGTAAAATAAAAATTGAAAAGGGCAGTTCGAAAATGATTTAAAAATACACTTCTGCACGGCACTGGAAACTGGTCCACTGTAAAACCTGACCTTGGAAAGAAGTAAATAAAATTTTATAACACATATTTAATATAAGCAAATCCAACTGCTTTTGCCGCTATTGTTATTATTAATTAATAAAATTAATTTGTAGTTTGAATTAATAAAGCAATTTGACATACTTGATGTTACAACTGTTCAAAATTTGGTCCACCGATGTGTAAACACATTTGGGTCCGTTTACCCATTTTCTACAAACGAACACAAATGTTATCTTGCTTCACCATAACACAAATATTGTCTTGCTTCACTATTAATTAAAACGATCTCCATCAACTCCGAGTTGCTATACACGTAAGCCATTTTTGACACAAAAAACTAATGTAAACGCCATTCGGAATCACCTGGGGTCATGTGGAGAGAGAGGGCGCATTGCGTACAGCGCACAACGCGAATGACGCTAGAGACTACAATAGCCCAGCAATGTAAGGGTTGAAATACTACAATTTCAATAAATTTTTTCTCGAAAACTATAAGGATTTCGCAACATTTTATTTAAGAATATTGACTCTATTTTTCATGACGCATCTATTCCCAATTTTTTTTGGGGTAAGTTGTGAATCACCTTGTATACAGAGTATAAGAAGTTTGGCTGCCATTACTTCAGCATGAGATAGAGTCATCATAAATGAACAAAAAAGTTGTATATTACAGGGACGTAAGATTTACAGTTTTCAAAATACAGCGGGTATTAATATTGGGGAGTTTCATCACAACGTGACAACAGCGCTTAACCTAATGCATATTTATGCGTACCACGTGTGCATGCGGCAGCCTTGCCCTACGGAAAAAATGTAAACAACTATTATTGTGAAACATTTAGTTTTCAAGACTATTGTTTTCCAGTTGTTAAATAAATAAAATAAAATCGATTTTGTAGTACGAAGTGTTGTGCTTAAATTTTACCTCGAATTTTAGTAATTATGTATCTCTTAAAACAGGAATTTAACTTTTAATCAAATTATGGATTTGAAAAATATGTAATTAAAATACCCAAAAATTCACTACATCCAAATAATCATACGTATTAAAAATAATTTAGGTACTTACCAAGAAACAAGATTCAGTAATTTTTAAACGCACAAGTACAAAACAAACTACAACATATGCTCAAAATGTCCACCACCATTTTCTATGCACGCACGACACCTTCGACTCCAATTATCGCGCACTCGATGGAAAACGCCTCAAGAAAAGGTGGTACGCAAAAAACACTCAGACACGGTCCAATTCCAGATACCAACTGAATTGCGTATTGCTGGACCGCTTAGTACCTCGTGTTATTCGCCGCGCCGTTGTCACATTGCTCGATATGAATTTTATCGAATTTTAAATTTATTACAACCCTAATTATTTTTTAGAATTAAGCATAATGAAGATTAAAAAAAGTGATAAACATTGTATTTTAAGGTATTCTATGCACGCAGTTATGTCAATATTCCTTATCGTCAAGTATACAATGGTAAAAATAGGGTATTACCTCCGAATTCTTGACACACGCACCGATTTTTATGAAAATTGACGAGTAAGCTCATTTCACCCTCCTTTACAAAAGTTACATTTCCATAATGTGTGCTTATTGTTTTTAGGGGGTTAAAACTACCCTTTCTTGCAAAAAACGTAAAAACCATAGATTTAAGTGTTATGTCAATAGAATAAGTCATTCTTTTATGTTTTGAATAATAATTTTTGATTTGTAGCAACATTTCAACCTTTAAAATCCGCCCTTTATGAGGAAAAAAAACAAAATTAGTTTTTACGGCTCTGAAAAGGTTTTGGCGGAGCAATAATGGAGAATATTTTTTACTGTTTATGAAATAATACATTATTCATTGCAACCTTTCAACCCTTAAAAACAACCCTTAATGAGGAATTGAAGAATTTTTCCCTGCTTCAAAACACTCAACGATACATTACTAAATTCAAGGAGATTACTTAAAAGTCGAAACTTAAATTATGTAATTAGTGAAAGGGAAAATAAAAATTATTTGTGTATTCTACAATTATACTTTATTATCAAAAATTTACATATCATCTATAGAACTATCATCACTGTCGACTTCCTCTGTTTGGTCCGTGATTGGAGGACAATTTTGGCAATTGTTCCCAAAACATGTCCGCATGTCAAAAATATCATTTTTAAAAGTTCTTTGGGTGCAGGCTGGTTGAACATTTTGATTCGCTGGAAAGAACTTTCATTTTTAATCCATCCCCAATCGGTTGGATTAATGTTACCTTTACCAATTCGTTTTTTCACGATAACTTTTTTAATTTTTAATATTTTGCATCGCTCCAAAAAACAATTTGCAAGGAATTGCAAGAGCTACAGATCAACCTTTATAGTTTAAGGGTCTTGAACTCTTCGTTTTCGAGATTTTTAGGTTTTAAGGGTACAAAGAAGGTGGTCCTTACACGCAAATGCAAACTAAAAAACGTTAATTTTTGCTCTACAGAAAAATTTAAAGAGAGCAAAAATATTATTAAAAAAAGACCTTTAATTTTGAACTGTTACATTTTCACGTATCTTGATTAGTTTTTGAGTTATTTTGACAAAAAGGAAATTTTTTTTAAAAATAAAAAAAATTTTTGTCATTATTTCAAACTTTTTTTAAATTTAGGCATTCTAAATCGATCAAACTTGCAGAGCCTATTATTAGTACCTAAACAAAGTCAACATGAATTACGCTTAGTTTCTATTTTTATGGTTCAGCCATAGATTTTATTGTTGATTTTTTCTCCGAAAAAATTAGATGACCATTTTATTTTCATCATAACTCCGCAAGTTTTTCAGCTACAAAATTTTTTCAAGACGCATTTTAAAAGTATTTCCAAGCACATTAAAAAAGGTTATAATCATTTTCTTCGAAAAATTAGTTTTTTCGCCATTATTTTACGGTAAAAGGTTCGATTTTACTTTCCGAAAAATAAACAATCACTTTTAGAGAGTGATAACTCGGTTAATATCTATAGTCAAGCATTATAGAGAAATGCTTACAAAAATTATTACCTGGACAAAAAAAATATGACCGTATAGAAAATTAAATTTTAAATCGAGTTTCTTGTTCTTCAAACTCGATCCAAAATGGCGAACATGGTTAAAAAAAATCGCAAAGTTGCAAAAAACGGTTTTTCTATAATAACTAAAAAAATATAGCACCGATCGAAAAATTTTAAATGAGAAAGTTGTAGGTTTTAAAAAGATCTATCGACTGATTTTTTGTAAGTATCGATTGCTTTGTTACTTTTCGAGATATATCGAAAAAACCGTTAAAAATCTTTTTTCTCTTCTTCTATAACTCGTTTACGTTTACGTTCCCATACTTGCTATTTACTGCAGGCATAGCCCGCAGCAAGACAAAAAAGTACATTTTTGAAAAATTTAAAAATATTTATTATTTTTCGAGATATATGGATTTTTTGAAAAAAAGGCGCTCTCGAAAATTGGCTAGATCTTCTCAGCGGATAACCTACAGTGATGATTTTTGGTTTATTTTCTTCGTAAAGAGTTATATTATCATAACATAACATAAAATTTACAAAAAATACAATAAAATAAAATTAACACACATGAATTAAATTAAATTCTGGATTTTCCAACTAAATCTCCATTTAATTGAATGAATATTTTTGCAAATGTTGCCTCTCCTAGATTTTTTTTATGGGGGTTCATTAAAGAAAAAGTTTACTCCACTCGTCCAATAAATGCAGAAGAACTGCGCGAAAGAAGAAGATAGGCATGTGCTGAAATTACAACACATCAATTGTCTAATGTTATGGCACACATTCAAAAACAATACAATAAATGCATTCAATTAAAGGAAAATTTAGTTGAAAATTCCAGAATTTAATTTAATTCATGTGTGTTAATTTTATTTTATTGTATTTTTTGTAAATTTTATATTAATTTCTCGTTTGTTTTTCTGTTTGTTTAATTGTATTTTGATATAAGGATGTCTATTAAACGTGTTATTAAATATTTGTTGTGATTGATTTATTATCGCATGGGTTACTAGATAAAAAGTTTCTTTATGCATAATAAACAATTTGACAGTAATTTAACCGCAGAATCGTTAATGTTGAATATTTTTTCATGAAATTTGGTACAGATCCATTTCAGGGGACGCCGAATCCAGTGGAATATGGATTCTGGATTTTTCAGCCTCTGAATGTGATCTAGTAGGTCTTAGTTTAAAAAAGAACTGGACGGCGCTTGGCCCCAAAATACACTTTTCCCCCCTCTACATTTCAAAAAAAATTTCGTCAAAATCGCTCCATAAATAAAACTGTTATGAGGGTGGCCCGCTTTCAAATGGGTCACTCTGTAT